CAAATATTTAGTACATGATACAGTAGAATGAAAAATACAACAAATATATAATCAATATTTATTTGAAAATACAGGGCAAACCACACTGCACCCCCTCCCACTCCACACACATGCCATACATACTTGCTGCTCCGTGACAGTATAAAAATATAGAAATACATTATACTGGACCACAAATAATGAGGGGAATGAACACACACATACAAAACCTACACTTTGTAAAACGAACATATTTCATATTAACAAGACCGACTGTTCAATTTCTAATTGTTATTAAATACAAGTTGTTGTAATGGATTCATGAAAGCATAAATGTTCATATCGAGATCAATTATACCCCACATCAAGTGCAACTGTATAGTCTAATGGCTTGACACTTTCTCCTAATTGTTCCCTTCCCCTTGCTAGTGTAAACGCTTACAGATAAAATGATACTCACTGTGGAGCCTGCACTGTCCAAGCTTCATAATAAAATTTCAGTGTTTAATGTCATGAGCATGTTTGTTTCCATGGCCTAAAAGTTCCTAGCAAATGGTACTTTCTTCATAATTGAATCCATTGCCATACATGATGAGTTAAACGAGCCTGTAAGGTGTTACGGGAACATTTAAGAGGAGCTACCAAACTATACACTTGCTATGTAGGGAAGTTTAATGGATTGGAATGGAATATTGATAATGGATGAACATCAAACATAGGCACTAGCATAATTTTAAATAAATACACATCATTATTCTGTATAGTTTTCAGTGTTTACTAAAGCAGTTGTTTCAACTTTCAAAAGATCTACAAAGCTATTGTACAGTCCTCATAACTGTCAGGACTTGGGTGGAGTTGACTCTTATCACTGTGGATGCTGGCAAATTTGTGACCCTCCACCAAGCTTAATCAAATAGGATTTGAAAATGTTTACAAAGCATAAAATCCACAGTAAATTCAGAGTTCAGTTTTTGTCAAGAGTTTAACCCATAAACTGCGCAAAACCTCATATGATGTGTAACATTGAACACAGTTTTTAAAATTTTCTGAAATTCTCTCAAATGTTTTGTGAATAATCTACTAGCCAAATGCTCCAACTTTGTCTAAATGATACCAGTGTAACTTGAAAAACAAGAAAATAAAAAATAATTATAAAATTGCATATTGAAAACTTCAGATTTTGAAATCAGCTGCAAAAATATAAAAATATCACCAACTGTTCATTTGGTGTTTTTATGCTCTCAGAATAGCATATGATCTTCATTTTCATATATTTAGAAATATAGATTTTCAGTATAGTTTACTGTAAAAAAAAAAAATTGTCAATATGGCATTTGAAATATGTGCAAATTTAGACAACAAAAATTTATAACTCCAAACGTTTAGAGTTCATGAAAAATCAATTCTATAGGGATTGTAGAACAGACAGCTGTGCACACTATATGTATATGCAAAAATGGTGAGAATTGGCCAGAAACTAGATTTTTTGATATTGAAGCAAGTTGAAATTCTAGGTCTAGATATAATTGAAGTTGAAGTTATCGACAATGAATAAGGCAGTTCTAATTCATGAATTTACTTGTATGTTGTAATAAATATTGTTTGGCATTCATACTCGAGTATGTGAAAGTTGTAGGTCAATGTGTGTAGAAATTAAGTCAAGAAAAAATACCCCCCCCCCCAAAAAAAAAATACTGGGATAATTATAATGATTTAGGGAATATATTTATGGGTATACTTTATATAAGTAAAAAAGCCCTAATCTGGTCCTTAATCATCAAAATAACCTAAAGAAACAAAGAAAATAATGTTTGAAATCTGTGAAAAAATCAGCCAAAAAAAATTCAAAGTTCCAAGTTCTGAGAGTTGTAACCGATTTATTTGTTGAACAATTTAATTCTGGCTTCACATAGTTAGGGACGAGTATGCATTCTCTAGAAGGTTAAAGCAAATTCAAATAATAAACAAAGGAGGAAAAAACCCTAAAAACCTATAATAAAAATAAAATAAAATTGGACATTATTGAAAGTAACTGATAATAACATTGGGCAGTGTATTTATATGATTATAACAAAATAGAGCATAACATAATTACTCATTATTATTTGTGTTATTATGTATTACTCACCAATGCTATAAAGGCACCAGCTGTATATCCACTTTGTGGACACTTCTTACTACTGTTCTTTGTGTGCCGGACAGGTGCTTGCATCTCTTTATTATTGCATTATCCATCAGTTCCAGTTAATAAGAGCTGTTTACTTTATCAACAAAACGTTCTTTTTTTTTAGATATTCGTCTAAAATCAATTTCTTAAAATATTTTGATGAAAATTTCACGAAGGTGAAGCCAATAAGTTGAAGATTTGTTTAACACTGTTAAGTAATTTTTACATAATTTTAATATTTTTTGAATTATACCCCCTTCAATGTCACACATCATATGACGTTTTATGCAGTTTAAGAGTTAAACTGTTAAACAAACAAAATTATAATTATTATTGTACTTTAGCTGCCTCTCATGAAACAAAGGGAAAAAAAGAAAATAAATTTTACATGGATTTCATAAAGACATTTCTATATAAATTTATACAAAACACTTCAAGAATTACAAAATACTGGTTTGGAATATTATACATCAAATCCATAAGACAATGGGATGCAAGATACAGTACTGCTCATTTCATTCACTAGTACCATAAAAAAAACCCTGCCATTCAATGTGTACCTTAAGGACAAGCACAAACTCTATGATCATCACAGTGCAGTACACTAAACACATTCCTTCAATTTTCAAATTGTAGTACAGTAATGTGCTTTATTTATGAAAGGCCGGCATGAAACAATGGCAGCGAAGAGATGGGAAAATATAATATAAATCACGATATAACCTTCCAAGTTACAACCACAGAAGCAAGCATCCTTTGATGCAAAAGTAGAAAATATAGCAAGAACAACCTAACATTGTATTATTAACGTCACAGTTTTCAACATTGAAGATAAATATTGTGTGAAAAATGGCATTATAAATCAACAGTGAAACACCTTTCAAACAAGGTCAAATTATATTACTGTATCTGGAAATAATGCTACATTTCTCTAAAACATGCAAAAGGAACACCAAACATCTTAGATTGAAGTCAAGATTATTTTTTTTCTAAAAAATTACATAAAATACAGATAATGAAATATTGAGCAATGCATTGAAGTTGTACAGTGTAGATAGGAAGCTGGTGGATGTAATGAATTTGTAAAGACTTAAAAAATATAAGTTGAATTTTGAAATTTGAAATTCACATAAAAAGTGGAACAAAATACAGTAGTTAGTATTGCTATGATTATGTAATTTATATATTGGATATGTGATCCAGTATTTTGACAAGCAGTAACAGTTGTACTGTGCCTTTGTTAAAGAGGCTCCCCAAATATATTTCAGGATATTATTCTATTATATTAGAAGAAAACATACAAATTCATTCTCAAAGGTTTGATAATCTAGGTTGAGTATTAAAAGATTAGAAAATGATCCTAAATATTATATAAAATAGAAAAAATATATATAATTAATTTCCAGTAGCTGCAGTTGTAATATTAAGTGGTTTATATTATTAATGGTTTATTAAGTGGAATCATAATTATATTCAGTTTGCAGTATTATAAATATCAAGCAAAAACCATCAGTAGCTATCCAGAGCTACTGGTATTGCTCTGGAATATACCAGAGCTTATTGGTACAGGTACCAATAAGCCTTTGGGTTGTGCCAGGCCTCCGAGACAAACACAGGGCTACCGGGTACTAGGACCGAGATACGGTTCTCTGATGAGACAAGACAATGGGATTCAGAGATCAACCCAAATGTAGATTATCTAAAACCTAACTATTGTTTGAAAGAAAAATGAAAGGAGGAAAAGAATACAAAGGATAGTTGGCAATGGGTGAACAGTCCTACCTTTGATTTGCTCTACTACCCCAAATCTCAACCCAGGAGGGTGCCAAACATAAATAAAAGCATTTGTTAATGAAATGCTTATTTCTTGGCAGTACTTGGTAGTTACCTGTTCCTGCTCTGTCTTTCTCTTGTTTATAGTGGAGTTTTGGCTTTCAGTTTTAATGGCTTATGAGGTAGGCAGTTAGTGCATTGGGACTCCAGGTTGCCTGGGATGCCGACTAGTGGTGGACAAGCGAGTTGGATCTAGTTGGAATCCACCCATTGCCAATTATCATTTGCCTTATCCTTTTTTTGTTGTTGTTTTGTTTGGGTTTTATTGTTATTTATCTGTTATACTGATATTGCCTTTGTCTCAGTGAGAGAACCAAATTCTGGTCCTAGATTTCAAAAGGCCTGCAATAACATTTAGACTTAGCAGTATGTAAACTTCAACTCAGGGTACTACTGAGGAAGCCTGGCCAGAAATGTACTTAACCTTATTCTTTGGAGCATTAACAAAGCTAAATACAGTACAGTATGTATTGAATTTAGCCAATCAAGGGAGCATTATGAAATAGATTGTGATGAGATGAAGGAGGCACAGCCATTAAGTAAGACAAGAGAGAGGTAAGGATTAGAGTAGAGGCAAGAAGAGTACTACTGACTATTTTCAGGATGCAACCCACAACAGCTTTATCTCCCAGGTACCTTTGTAGTTCAAGGTGAACACACACAATCAGGTGAAATGAAACACTGCCCAAACGCTTCAATCCTGCCATGTGGATCGAACCAGCGATCCTTGGTCGAGTGCCAACTATGTAGCCCATTTATGTTTGTGCGTGATTATCCAACTGTAGTTACAGGATGAGAACTATGCTCTTGGTGTCCCATCTTCTCGATACTGTCATATGATGCATTGCCTGATAATTTAAAATTACTTTCAATTTATGATCATACATGAGTGGTGTTGGTTAAGTCAATATGATGTGGCTTTTCAAGGTATCATTTAGAAAAAATACATATACTGTATAGTATTGTACATGCAGTACTGCAATAAACTGCTAGTGAACTACAATCCTTCATTTTCGTACACTATAAATACAATTTGCTTAAACTTAAAAGTACTGTACATACTGTATTTTGAGTTTCAGGTCAATATGATGAGGCATTCTAGAGATACTTTTCGGAAACCTAGCAGGAGAAAATCACATGAAAAAACCCTAAAGCAGGGGGTTTTCTACCAAATTTCCCTTCACATAACCTTTGAGCATTATTAGTATCATCCACATACCCCCATAAGTGATAACTAAAAGAATATGCAAATATTAAGTTGTGTATACATTATTTGTAAACAGCATCAATAAATGGGTCACTACATAACCACTGAATAATTTGTTTCCAGAAACAAAAACAGCAATTTATAAGAAAATTATAGAACAATTTCATATTCTTCACCTTTTGTTGTGCAGTATTATTTTCAAGACTAATGTACTGTATTGGATTTTAATTGTACAAAAATCTACACAAGTACCATCTTTAGAAAATATTTCCAATGTGAACTGCAGTAAAACAAAAAACAAAAGTTTGCAGCTGTTATCTGACAATTTTATTTAAAAATAATATTAATGTTTCAACTGCAAAGTGAATGATTGAGATGGATGTTTCTTTTACTAGCCTAAGAAGCCAAGGAGCAATTTTGGCTAAGGCACATCAAAGGTCAGCTTCAACACTCAGTTGGCATCTTATTTTAGATTTCATGAAGTAAGCTGGAAAATCCAGATTTCATTTTTGTGAATAGCTTCGAATCCCTACTTCATAGTTTCTCCACTATAATGTCTGTTTTTCTTGAGCCTCCGTCTCATCTATAATCTGCAACATACATTATGACATATGGTAAGTCGTCATAAATAGCAGTATATTCATTGACTAGCCTTTTTAACATAGCATTAAACAATGTTATAAAAATATAAGCCCCCAAATGCTGAAATCGACAAACATAAAACAGGACCACAACATACACAAATTTTCTATAAATCGTTACCTGGCGCAAGCCAAGTGAAGGATTACGCAATGCATACCAAGCAAACAAGTTGTTCCTGCTCACATTTTTGCTTGTATTTTTGTTCATGAGATTACTGCCTGTTTGGACGAATCCCAATTTGTTAACTCTTGGTAGTTAATATTAGCACAAAGGCCTTCCTACTCATATATAAATGGCTCCCAGAACTGTAAACAGGAGCTACAAGGAGAGGTTAGAGGCATTAACTATACCAAAGCTAGAAGAAGTGGTGATATGATCACTACCTACAAACTAGTAACAGGATTCAACAAAAATGACAAAGAAGAATTTTTTAAAAACTGAAACTTCAAGAACAAGATAGGTTCAAGCTAAGGAAACACAGCTGCCAAAAAAATGTAAAGTACACTTTTGCAAACAGAATGATAGATGGTTAGAACAAGTGAGACGGTGGAGGTCAAAACCGTCAGTACAGTAGTTTCAAAGTGTCATATGATAGTACTGGGAAGAGAGAATATGAGCATAGCTCTCATCTTGTAACTACACTTGGGTAATTACCACAGGTATAATGGGCTGATGGTAGAGACGGCCAGCCGGTTTAGTCACCATAAGCTCATTTCTTCTATATCATTACCAAATTACAAGTTATACATTGCTGTATTTTTCACTCGTGCATTTTTTAATACCAGTGTTAATGTACATTTTTGTGTAGTTTACCAATATATGAAATGTGGCAATGTAGGCTAAAGTAATGTACAGTAGTAGGGATCTCAGTGTGATAAAGTGATGCTTGGTGCAACCTGTGCGTAAGTTTATCCCAGGTTGAAAACCCCTGGCCAAAAATATCCTCACATAGAATAACAGGGAGGTACAACACACAAATGTGCAGATAAGGAGGCAGATGCTGTTGCGGAAAAAGAAATGTTAAATACTGTACTGTATTTGGGGAACTGACTAGAAAAATGTATTAAGGGTGGTTGTCAAAACCACAAGAGGACTGAGGCCAAACACCTTTGAGAATCTACACACACACACACACACATTGTGCAGAAATTATTATGAAATCATAGGGACCACTGCTCAAAGTTGCAAATTAAATGTTCCATTTAAGGATCTGTCAGCACTTATTCTAGACACCCTACATTTTTATTGCAGCATTATCATTTGTTGCCTTTAGTGAACTGAAAGTTTGGGTACTTCATTTACAAATGTTTACATTTGCCTTTTGTTTCAACTATTATAAGAACAAAATATTTAACATTATCAGGCCATTACAGGACTTTCATTCATTTTATAATCTTTATTGAATTTTCCATTTTAACAGCTTCCATATACAATACTGTACATATCAACGTACATTAGTACCACAGCGAAGTTTGTTTGGTTTCTGCATTCCATAGAAGATGTGAAATTTTCTTGGAAGCTTCTTCCTGTTCTTGATCTGGAGACAACATGTATTCTGGATAGATTTAACACACCCTTTGTATACTTCACCCATCACCCTCACTGGGTTGGGTTACCCTTAAGTGACCATTGTTTGGACGGTATCATTGTGTTATGGTTATATTCATTGCGTGTATCAGGGTAGTATGAAGATGTAGGTGGTAGGTTCACAGAACAGTATAAACCACTGCAGATATATAGCAGGCAACTTTCTCATCTTTGGAAAATATATTTATGCTAGTTAACATTTCATTGTTTTTAACTCTAACCACACTACAGTATTTCTTTCATTACACTTACTGACACTAAATTTGTTCTCTTATTTGTTCACATTTAAGGGGCCTTAATTTATAATAAAATAATGTCTAGGCAAAATATGATCCACAAACCCAACACAAAATCCTTTAACTTTTTGATACGGGTGGGCACATGCACCTACACACCAATACTAGCAACACCTGTGTTATTAATTTTATTTATTTATATATATATATATATATATATATATATATATATATATATATATATATATATATATATATATATATATATATATATATATATATATATATATATATAATGTCGTACCTAGTAGCCAGAACGTACTGCTCAGCCTATTATGCAAGGCCCGATTTGCCTAATAAGCCAAGTTTTCATGAATTAATTGTTTTTCGACTACCTAACCTAACCTAACCTAACTTTTTCTGCTACCTAACCTAACCTATAAAGATAGGTTAGGTTAGGTTAGGTAGGGTTGGTTAGGTTTGGTCATATATCTAGGTTAATTTTAACTCCAATAAAAAAAATTGACCTTATATATAATGAAATGGGTAGCTTTATCATTTCATAAGAAAAAAATTAGAGAAAATATATTAATTCAGGAAAACTTGGCTTATTAGGCAAATCGGGCCTTGCATAGTAGGCTGAGAAGTGCGTTCTGGCTACTAGGTACGACATATATATTATATATATATATATATATATATATATATATATATATATATATATATATATATATATATATATATATATATATAATATATATGTCGTACCTAGTAGCCAGAACGCACTTCTCAGCCTACTATGGAAGGCCCGATTTGCCTAATAAGCCAAGTTTTCATGAATTAATTGTTTTTCGACAACCTAACCTACCTAACCTAACCTAACTTTTTAGGTTAGGTAGGGTTGGTTAGGTTCGATCATATATCTAAGTTAATTTTAACTCCAATAAAAAAAAATTGACCTCATGCATAATGAAATGGGTAGCTTTATCATTTCATAAGAAAAAAATTAGAGAAAATATATTAATTCAGGAAAACTTGGCTTATTAGGCAAATCGGGACTTGCATATTAGGCCGAGAATTGCATTCTGGCTACTAGGTACGACATATTTATATATATTTATATATATATATATATATATATATATATATATATATATATATATATATATATATATATATATATATATATATATATATATATATATATATATATATATATATATATATATATATATATATATATATATATATATATATATATATATATATATATATATATATATATATATATATATATATATATATATATATATAACATTATAAAAGCATTATAGTTTATTTTTAAATTGCACTTTACCATGGACATCCAATATAGTACTCATTCCATTCTTTTGACAAAATTTCAGTTCGTCACCCAAAACCTCCCACCGAGCAATATATTAACCTTTCAACTGCACATAACAATCAGGGTTGTATCAGTGTTGTATACAACAACCAGGGTTTATTTTAGGCCTAGCATAATACTTAAAATTCCTGTGGTTATATGGACTAGCATCCTGTTTTTTAAGGTCTCCAGTATTCAAGTGCTTTCTTTGACAAAAAAGATGGGCATTTATCTTGGGTGAGACAGCAACCATGGGTCACCCCATAGGTATTGCACTTTGCTGCAGCTAAGGAGCACTGGCATGCAGCTTGTGTGACACAGCATCACTTAATAATTAAACCTGATCCTGATGACTGTTTTCAGAGCAAGACAAGACAGAAACAGCAGACAGCTGCAGTTTTTGCCTTTGCACATTATACAATAGGACAACATGTTCCTTTAGAAAATAAACCAGCATTGAACGTAATGAAACGCCATTTTCTGGGTGAATCCCGGAGGCGCCCCGAAGCTATCCAGGCTGATATGTATATCATTAGATTTTGGCATCAGTCAGCGTGAATGGAGTTCTAGGCCTACCGGGGACCACGAACCAGAACCTGGCCCCCTCAGGAGGCACGAGGAGCAATGGCCTAAAGAAATGCACATGGGATTAGGGGCATTCTATATCTGCCATCAACCGGGACAGGCACCCAGAAAGGTAAGTGCCTCAATATAACCCCCTATTCTGGTTAAAACGACTAGAATAGACAAACAAGTGGACAGAAATCCCCAAATGAAAACTGGATGTCAAAAACACATGAAAAAAACGCCGACCGGAAGGAGGGAGGGAGGGTTGCCAGGAAGCCTCCGGGACTCGCCCAGAAACCGGTGTTTTATTACATTTAACACTGGTTTTCTGGGGGGAGCCCCTTATGTTTCCCGGAGCTACACCACCAAAGCCGCCTCCCGGGACTTACCCGGGAGGCGGTCGGTGCTCTCACCTCAACTCAAAGTCGAGACAACAGGCTGCAACCGATGACCCAAAGAGAGACAGGCCCAACTAGGCCCAGGAACATTCACGAGGAAACGTGCAGCCAGGACCCTGTTTGACCGCCAAAAACCCCCATGCTCGAATGTCAGCCCAGGACATGTTACCGAAGATGGCAGCAAGCGCAACAAACTTACGAACGTCATAGGCATGGGGATAGACCGCAGGCTGGCTAGACTGAATAACCCTGCGGATGACCTGAGAGATCCGAACCCTAGAACAGGGAAGAAGGGAAACCGGATCAACCCGAAGCGCGTCCCCAGCCACAGAGTCCGTGGCGTGCAAATAACGGTGGAGAGCCGCAACCGGACACAACAGATGATGCATCCCCGGCCTGACCAACCAAGTATCAACAATCCAAGGATCCTTTCGGAAAGCAGCAGTCTCATACTTCGCCAGAAAAGAAGAGACGACTACAAACGAACAAACCAATCACCAGAACCCAAAGAAGCAGAAACCACTGATAAACAAACCTGAACCAAAGGGGCCACTACGAACTGAGGGGGAGAGAGAAACACGAGCACCCATTCCAAGACCAGGATGGCTCAGGCATCGCATGAGCAGGCCGGAGGCAAACAACGCTCAAGACGTCACGCGAAACGGTGCAGAAGGAACATCAAAACCGAATGCAATCCATAGCGGCTCCGTCAGCGCCGCACGAGACAAGGTGACAGTATGTGAGCAAGATGATTGCCCTGAATCTCCACGAGAGAAAAACAAGACCACGTCAACAAAAAGAGCAGTATACCTTTGAAGAGAAAAAGAAAAGGAAGGACCACCAGAAAACACCATTCTGCCACTGAGACGAGCACGCAGGTGGGACGCCATCAACGAAACCACCCGATCACTAAACAGATGGCGAGAGACTCAAGTCAAAATTACCAGACGAAGACTCAAGGAGAAGACTGAACCAGCCTCGTCACTCATCGGATCGAGCATTTGAAAGAGGTGGAGCCGCAGGAAACCCACTGACACTGAGCAAGAAGCATCTGAAACCTAAATCTGTCAAGGAACCAGATGTAACGTCCGCCAGGGAATCAGACACCCAAACCCGGCGAGCCGGAAAAGAACCAACCCGGGCGAGCAGACCTGTTCCCTGTCCGGAAGGAACCCCCCCGGTTCCCCGGTGGGGACCGGGGAAGGTGAACAAAAGCAGGCCCCCACCAAGCAGAAACAAAAATAAAAAGAAAAACCCCGCCAGAGGTCAACGTACCAAAGAGGAACAGAGCTGGCCGGTGTTATAGGTGAAATCTAGCTGCGCAGTACCCTGCACCCCTACCAGTGCAAAAACTACCACTTACCCCAAGGTAAACAAGAGAGGAAACCACCCCCCCAACACACTCGGGGCAGTCAATCATCGAGCAGTAAAAGACCAACAGAGGTAGACCCCAAGGTGGCTTGTGGAAGAGAACCCCAAGCCCCAAGGGCAGTACTTACAGGGAACTCAGGGAAGGGAGCCCCAAGTACATGCAGCCCGAGTATCTGTGAAAATTACTCCCAGCTCGCACGCCATCGTAAGAGCAGTACTGGACACAAGGCACAGCACAACTCAGAGAATCTGGAGCTGGAGCCACACAACCATGCCACAATCACATCTGCCAAAGTACTGCAAGATCGCCGGTGCGAGGGTCTGGGACTCACCCTTCAGGGAGGGGGGACCTGCGCAGACATACGGCGCAGCTCGTGTGACGTCATGATCGTTTGCTTGTTTTCATTTGGGGAGCTCTGTCCACTTGTTTGTCTTTTCTAGTCATTTTAACCAGAATAGGGGTTTGTTTTGATGTGCTTACCTTTCTGGGTGCTTGTCCTGGTCAATGGCAAATATAGAATGCTCCTAATCCCACATGCCTGACCTATAGGCCATTGCTCCTCGTACCTCTCTGAGGAGGCCAGGTTCTGGTTCATGGTCCCCAGTAGGCCAAGAACTTCATTCACACTGATGCCAAAGTCTAATGATATACACATCGGTCTGGATAGCTCCGGGGAGCCAAAAGGGCTCCCCCCCAGAAAATGTGAAAAATGATTCATATTCAGGATATAGACCAGAATAGTGACCAGTGATTGTGATTTGGTGATGTCATCATGCTACTTCCTTGCTCTACTACAGCCAAATTAAGCTACATACAATTTTTTTTTTTTAGCTTTCAGTAATCAGGGAATGTATTTTAACTATTTGAAAAAAAAAATCTGCATACCACAGGAGTGTCACATGTAACATGTGTACAGTACAGGGTTAATAAGACTGACCAAACTGATTCATCATTTGCCTGCTCCACTGCCATCAAAGATGGCTGCTCCTGGGCTGAAAGTGCAATACTAATAATTAAAATTTCATTACGCTAATCTTATACTTGCCTGCCACAAATTTTCCTTCCTGGAAAATTCACTGTTGGAATGCCACCGACATGCTCCTCTGTACCTGTGACACACATACCACACACAATAATCACTATAAGAAGTCACTAGGCCATGAACTACTGTTCCTTAAAATAAATGAGCACTGGATATCCCAAATGTTACCCAACTAGTGTTATGTATAACCTTCCTGTGTAGCTACTAACAGATGGTATATCCAGTATTCATATATTTTGAGGTAGTTCATGGTCTAGCAGCTGGGGCATTATATGCAACATACTTGTATGCCGATACATCTGGTCAAACCCCACCTTGTGTTCCAACAAATAAATATACAGTATATATTATAAACATTCTGTAAATAAATCTGATAAATATATAGAGAGAAGAATTAAAGCAAAATGGCAACACCGGGAGTTACAACCAGCTATTCTAGATTTACTTTTCTGGATATCATAAAAATATAATACTGTACTGTATACAGAAATACATTTTAAATAATTCACATTTTCAAGAGTTTCCCTAATATTTTAAATTTATATTTCCACTATTCTTTTTTTTTATAGTTCAGTAATTTCAGACAAGTTGTACTAAGGTTAGTAAGTATACTGGAATTAGCAACATAGAAGTCAGAAAGATGTTACTAGATACAAAATCAGTCATGATCTTGCATTTCCTCAGATACAAAATATTAGTTAAAAGTTTTACAAATCAAAATCAGTTGCAGGAAACTCATATTCATTTCCATTAATAGCATTTGGAAGTCCCTACAAGAAACAGAAATGTCATTCAGTTTGACTTTTGTCTCTAGGATGAAGTTTCCTTTAGGTGCAAGTCAAACTAAACTTATAAAAATATCTTACCAATTTTTCTATATTATCATTACCATCAGGCAAAATCCTTTGTGCAAAGTTCAACTATCTCCAAGTCATATCTATTTTACACAATATTCAACCACTTTTAAGTTTAAGTGTTCGATGAAGAAGCCAATTCAGACCACGATGAACGCCTGCAAGGGTCTTCACTTCAACTTCACATATCTGAAATTATAATCAGAAAACGGCTTTCATTTGTAGCTTAAGTATAAATTATGAATATAACTTTCGTAAATTTCAAAGGTGAGCAAGTCTGGGAAGTGTGGGGTGTTTTGCTTAGAGATTACCATTGATCCCCCTAGTAAATTCCCTCAACAATTGCCATAACAAATAAAGATGAGTGAACATATCTGTATTCTTGCATGCTTTTAAAATGAAAATGATTCCCTTTAATAAAATAAATTGTAAGCACAAAAATGCTGCTACTGTATGTGCCACCTCTAAATGACCCATTTTGGCATTGGTACAATGTCAATCCTCCACCTTGACTGAATTTCCACCTGTGATACATATTAGATTTTTATGTTGTGTGAAATTATTTTTTCCCAATACTTTCCTGTTCGTATCTTAAAATGCCGAATGTAAATGGATTCATTCTTAGTAAATGTCTTTTTAAATTCTGAAAAATGTATTTACTAAGAAGTGACTGGAAAGAATTTGAATGTCAGTTAACAGGGGAATTAGAGATATAAATAATACACTGTATATAAGAATTAATTGTGAACTCATTAAAGTAATACTTACAGCCCATGGAAGATCTAAAGTCCCAAGAACATTATATAGCATTGTAGGTCGGTGACGTACTTGATGACTATTGAAATGAGGCTGCGATTTTTTATGTACTCGTGACTTTATATTTGCAAAATCATCATGATCAAGATCAGAGTCATCAGAGGAAGTAGGATGAGGGTCATCCAAGTGTGCTAGAAGAACAAGGATCGGTGGAGAAAGATCTGGTGGAATTGTCCTCATCATAGCTTCAAGTTCTAGCACATCTATTGTGTGAGTGTGAGTGCAGCAGCCATTTTGCATTTTGCTGCTATGCAAGACATTTTCAATATTTTCACAACAACAAGAGGAATCCATGTAGCATATCAGACCATCAACACGTGGTATTACCTGAAATATTACACATCCATGGATATTACTATGACAAAAGGCAAGTAAATGTCATATAAAGAAGAATGTATGGTATATTATGAACTGTATAATAAAAAGAAAATCATGACAAAAATAATTTTGTTTAATTAAATTTATAGTACGGTACATTATCTCATTGATAATTAGTTTTGGCTTTGTTAAAACCTATACCTCTGCCACATCTGGATGAAATGCAGTTCCACTTGGGCCATCTACCAGAAGTCTTGGCCGTGCTCGTCGAACTGTTAATAGATTCATCAAGTTGTGACCATATCTTACAGTAACGCCGCCACCTGCAGGAAAACAATAACAATCCTGTTATCCATAAAATCCTGTTTGGTAAATTCCTAGCAATTCTTTAAGATTAAAAAAAGTGAATAATTAGTAAAGAAGCAAAGGTATTTTAAATGTGAAGTATTGCATATCAAATTACATCACACGTTTAGAAGACTTTAGGGTTAAGTGCAATCATATTCCCTGTGCTTGGATAAATACTAACCACACATTTGTACTGTATCTGTCATTCCAAGCCAAATCATCACAAACAAGTGGACTTTTCAATCTGACCAACTCATGTTCATGAAATTTGGTAGAATGGTAGAGGATTCAAAGTAACTTGTCTTAACAAAATTTTAGTATTTGGTGATGCACAATATTCATCCAACAGGGTTACCTCTTATTTATTCATTCCTTGCATCTGGTATGAAAGCATGAAATGTTTACATTCCAGGTACTGGCCTAGCTTCCTTATGTCATGTGTAGAAACTTCTCATTCTCCATCGTTTTGTTGTTGACACACACAACTTCGTATATGTTTTGCCTTCATCAGCTGATGTATTTGGCCTTTCCATAGAAAATTCCTTTTAATTTTTTCCTACAGAACACCTTTCCTCATTGTTTTTTACTGCTGCTGTGCCCTTTTATATAAATGGGGTTGCAGTACTGTGTTTGTATGTACTTCTTATCCACTGTCACACTATCAAGTGGTTCCCTTGCATTATTTCTTCACACCATGCAAGCTCTAGCAAGACTGAATAACAGTGATGTCAAATTCAGTTTTGATAACTGCACAGAGAATTTGATCATTTGGTTTTATGTCTTCCATAAGGTAGCTGTGGGTTAGCTTTGAATGTCCACGTTTTACACTAGCAGACACCATCCTCCACTGTCTACTCCATTGTACACAAACCATGGCAAGAATTTTGGCTTGATTTGTCTTGATTCAAGTTATTACATAATGCTTCGTCTGCACGTTTTTTCTCATTAGTCTCTCGATACCTGGACAATTCATATATAGCACTTGCTAATGTTATCTTGTAATATTAACATTACAAATGTTTATCTAATACATGTATAAGTATTTAATAAATAAATAAATAAATAAATAAATAAATAAAATAAATATATATATATACACACACACACACACACACACACACACACAGTACATTATTTAGTACAATAACATTTAATTAATTATGTTAACATTATTTTCTAATGTACAATGCAGAAATATTGACCGAGTATCATTCCCATTTTTGATCCATTACAATTAGCTATTTTCTGTGTTTACATCAAGGATAAAACACTAGTCAACTGTTCCCCAGCCATGTTATGGAATGTGGAATTGGAGAACATAGACCCCACACAACCTATGTGAGAAATCTTTAAAGAATTCTGACAAAGAAAGGGATCTAGGGGTAGTTCTAGATAGAAAACTGTCACCTGAGGACCACATTAAGAACATTCAGAATTGCTTTTAAATACATGGATGGAGAAATAAGAAATTGTTCACACTTTTGTTAGACCAAAGCTAGAATATGCAGCAGTTGCATGGTACCCATATCACATCAACAAACTGGAATAGGTGCAATGACATGCCACTAAGTGGCTCCCAGAACTGAAGGACAAGAGCTACGAGGAGAGGTTAGAGGCATTAAATATGCAAAAAGTAGAAGATAGAAGAAAAAGAGGTGATATAATCACTACTGTACATACAAAATAGTAACAGGAATCGATAAAATTGATAGAGAAGAATTCCCGAGATCCGGAACTTCAAGACCAAGAGGTCATTGATTTAAACTCGTGAAACAAAGCTGCCGGAGAAATACAAGAAAATTCACTTTTGTAAACAGACTGGTAGATGGTTGGAACAAGTTAGGTGAGAAGGTGGTGGAGGTCAAAACCATCAGTACAGTAATTTCAAAGTGTTATATGACAGAGTGCTGGGGAGACGGGACACCACGAGCATAGCTCTCATCCTGTAATTACACTTAGGTAATTACAATCATAAGATTTAATTTACTATCAGTTTTTATAAGTAAACAATTTTTTTAATATTTCAGAATATAAATTATGAAGCTATTTCTTGTATACAGTATGTCCCAATTACAGTGATAACAGGTAGGATCATAGAGCTTAGTGGGTTCCCTAAGCAAGAAATTTATAGCACATCTCATTTGAGACACTGGGTTTAATAGCAGAACTGGAATGAGTGGCCAGACAGTTGAAGTGCAGGTGACTTCGTAGCAAAATCAACAAACCAAACAGCTCATACAGAAATCTACATTTTTGTTTACTTAAAATTAAAATGGCAGATAGATTAAACATCTGCCTGTACATTTTCTTTCAGCTACCATTAAATAAAATTATGAGAATATTTAGGATACATTCAAATACAAGCTTGCCTACCTACTCCTCCTGGTTTACCCTTGACCAAACCCACAGTTTCGAAGGTAGAGTCTTTAGAGGCAATAAAACTGAGGGCCAGTTTCTTGGATACTTTAGTTTCTGGCATGCCAAAGAGCAAGAATGTTGGTGCACCCTCTCCCTTGGAAAATGGCTGAAATTATAAGAGATAGATCAATATCTGGCACCGTTTTATATATAGTATTTTTTTTTTTTTACAAATGTAACTACATTTAGAATCCAGTACATATTTTTATCTAAAATTTATCTAAAATTTTGTAAAAGCTATATAAAGTACAATTAATGTTTCATAATATAAACGTTCAAAATAGTGCATTAAATTTATGTACTTACATCAGATGAGGAATTCTGTGGCGTTCCACTGCTGAATAAACTAACAAGATTTTCAAATAGCTCGGTTAGACCCATAGATGCAGTGGGAGTGGCCATTTTGGAGAGGAGGTTGCCAAAGTCAAGATCCTCGTGGTTTTCATCAGTGCATGAATCTGGATTTAATATTTCATACCTAAAAAAAATTTTTATTAGCCTTCAAATATTTTAAGAGTGCAATTAAAGACAATAACTAATCCAAAATGTTCTTGCATCTATAAAAATCAAAATGTTACCATTGCAAATACCGGCAGTTATTTTAACCACCTTTTTTGCTTGAATTAACAAGTTTTTGTAAAATGCAGAAATGTACTGTATTTAGTTTGGAACATTTTATTCTAGTTATTATTGTACAGTACTGGTTCTGTGATAATGTATGCATTTTAATACAATACACACACACACAATATTTAAGAGGAAATGAGGAAAATAAGATTATAAAATGACACTATTCATATTTATTAACCCACTTTAAATATGCTTAACTATAATAATATATATGCCATTTAAACAGTTTACATATACTGAACAGTACTTGTTAACCCCATGTCAAGAGTTAATTTAATTCGGTGAATCCAGTAGATTTCTGGGTGAGCCTGGAGAAAAAACCCAGTATTGAATGTAATGAAACGCCATTTTCTGGGCAAGTCCTGGAGGCTCCTAGGAGCTTACCGGGCGGATATGCATGTATTATACTGTGCCATCAGTCAATTCAATTGGAGTTCTTACCTACCAGGGACCACGAGCCAGAACCTGGTGCCTTCAGAGAGGCACGAGGAGCAATGGCCTAGAGAAACCTCTATGTGGCCGAAAGCATTCCATGTCTGCAGTCAACCGGGTTAGGCACCCAGAAAGGAAGGCATCCCAAAACAAACTCTACCTGATTCAAAATTGCTACTGAAAGTTGAACTATCAAGCAGCACTCCCAAGTCTGAAAACAAGCAAACAAGCATGACATCACAACCGCTGCTGCGCCGTTGTCTATGCAGCTTGCCCCTCCCCAGGAGGGAGAAAGAGTAGCGCCAGACACCTGCACTGGCTATCCACCCCCAGTTCAGAGGCTGAATATAAAAAAATGTGAATACTGCTGACCAGAGGGAGGGAGGGTTGCCGGGGAGCCTCCGGAACTCGCCCAGAAAATGGCGTTTCATTACATTCAACGCTGGTTTCCTGTGGAGAGCCCCTCTGGTTCCCTGGAGCTACCTAACCACAGAAAAAGTAAAAGAGGGACTTCCTCAGGAGGCAGCCGCACCTCAATGCAAAGTCGAGACAGCTGACTGCAACCTGTGATCTAAAGTGACACGCTCGACAAGGGCCAGGAACATTAACGAGGTAATGGGCGGCCAGGAACCTGTTCAACCTCCAAAATGCATGCCCGAATGTCAGCCCAAGACATATTACCAAAAACGGCAGATAAAGCAGCAAATTTGCGAACGTCGTGGGCACGAGGATAGACCGCAGGCTGACTGGACCAAATAACCCTGCGGACAACCTGGAAGACACGAGTCCTGGAACACTGAACAAAGGAAACCGGATCAACCCAAAGCGCATCCCCGGCCTCTGATGCAGTGGCGCGCAAATAACAGCAAAGAGCCGCAACTGGACACAAAACATGATGCACCCCCAGCTGAACCAATCAAGCATCAACAATCCAAGGAACCCTCCGGAAAGTTGCCATCTCATTCTTCGCCAGAAAAGGAGCCGGCTGCAAAAGAACAAACCTACCACCAGGACCAAAAGAACAGAAACCCCTGCACCGGAGGAGAGCATGAAGCTCCCCAACCCGACCCCCAGAGGCCAATGAAATCAAGAAAAAGAGCCTTATCAAAACAATCCCAAACCGAAGGGGCCACCACAAACCGAGGAGGAGAGAGAAAAAGAGAGCACCTGGTCCAACGACCAGGGCAGCTCAGGTGGCGCGTGAGTAGGAAGGAGGTGAAACAACGCATGACACAGCTTACAAAACGGATGGAATGTAACATCCACCCCAGACGCAAGCTGGAGCATCTCTGCCAACGCTGCACGATACAAGGGACAGTACTCGGCATAAGATGACAGTCCTGAAACCGCCAAGAGAGAGAGGACAAAACAATCCGATACGAAACCGAAGACAACCTGTGAAGATACAAAAAATGAGGAGAGGACCACCAGGAAACTTCATACTGCCACCAAGACAAAACATGCAGGTGGAACACCATCAACGAAGCCACCTGATCACCATACAAGTGGTGATAGATCCATGTCAGAAAGACCAGATGCGCAGATCGAACCAGCCACTTACCGGACCAGACTGATCTGCTGGAAGAGGCTGAGCCGCGGGAAATTCCCCATGGGTTCAGACACCGAGCAAGCTGCGCCAGAAACCAAGGTTGGGTTGGCCACCAAGGGGCCAACAGGACAACACTCCCCTGGTAAGTCTCCAACTGAGCCAAAACCCGAAGCAACAGCAGAACCGGGGGAAGAAGTAAAGGTAACCCCACCTCGATCGGTCCTGCCGAAAGGCATCGACCCTGACGGCCTCGCAGTCGGGGAAGGGCGCTACGTATACCAGATGCCCCGAACACGCCAACATGAAGAGGTCCACCTCCAGAAGCCCGTATTATGTCTGGCAGAGCCAACTGAACGCGTCCCCATCGAATATTTCTAATAGAAATATTCAATCAAGAAAGTCTTACATAACTGGGCCAATAACTGGGGAGCCGGTCGGCCGAGCAGACAGCACGCTGGGCTTGTGATCCTGTGGTCCTGGGTTCGATCCCAGGCGCCAGCGAGAAACAATGGGCAGAGTTTCTTTCACCCTATGCCCCTGTTACCTAGCAGTAAAATAGGTACCTGGGTGTTAGTCAGCTGTCACGGGCTGCTTCCTGGGGGTGGAGGCCTGGTCGAGGACCGGGCCGCGGGGACACTAAAGCCCCGAAATCATCTCAAGATAACCTCAAGATAAGGAGTAGAGTCAAGGCGTCGACTTTGAACTATTCCCGGAAAAAGTCCTTAAAGCTCCAGTAAATGAAGCAGAAGATATGAATTTTGATGGATTTATTGATGAAAGCCATGGCATGTTCTAACAAGCTGGTGAAAAGTTAGAGGCAAACCATTGTTGAATGGCTAGAAGAGATGCTGATGACCGAGGATATGGTGTGATGTGCAAAGAAAAGATTCTTTGTGTGTCCCCCTAACCATGTAAATTTATATTTATGACATGTTGAAACGTGTATCCTCTTGGTATGGTACAAAAAAATTACAATTTCTTTTCTTTTTTTACTTTTCCAGTAAAAAAAGATGGCTAACTTTAATGGGGATTAACTATATAAGTTGGATTACCAAGTGTAGACAATACATATATTTCCACAAACTAATTTGTCAAGTGTGCTGTATTGATCTTTTTCTGACATGTAATACAGGTACGTATGTTGAAATACATGACAGCCAGCCCCAAAAAATTTTGCATTTCTTTCTAGAAATAATTTAAATTTGTTTATCATAACATCTGCAGCACACACACACTCACGCTACAGTACATACTTTCATCACAACTTACAGAAGTTTGTTGTTGACAAGAAGTGGATCTCTTACAAGCATGCCAGCAAGAGGATTAGGCTCAAAATTGGGTCCAAACAGGCCTAAGTTTATTACCTAGAAAGAAAGATTTTCAATTTTATGGAAATATTTACATCCTGGAAGTACAGCAATATTTTACAATGTAAACCCTATAATTTCCAAATACTGGATATAATTTCCTTGTAGTAATTACTATTAATATATTTATTGTTTTTAGTCAAAATTATTTATATACAGCCTAATTTTTTCTTTGTGGAAATTAACTAACTTGTATACCTTTATTCTGCACCAATGTACTACAGTTTTCACAGTTAAAGCCAGTTTAAATAAGAAGAGAAACGAACCTTATTGTGAGAAATGAACATTTTTATTTATTTTATACATGCATAATATATACAGGTATATATTATATATATATATTATCACAAGCCTCTCTTCCCATAAGACTTGGGGGCCTCGGAGTTCGAACAGCAACGCAAATCGCTGTTCCAGCCTTCCTGTCCTCCTTATCAGCATCCAACGACCTTGTGAAGGAAATTCTACCTGCCCACTTACATCAGCTGGCAGGTGTACATGATCCCAATTTTACACGCTGTACCACAGAGTGGGCCTCTCGTGCAGGCCTATTACCTCAACCACCATCCCCAAAAGCCCACAAGCAATCCAGCTGGGATGGCCCCATTGTAGACCAAGTTGCTGCAGAGTGCCTGGGTGCTGCAACAACACAACACGACATTGCTCGCCTCACAGCAGTAGCAGCCCCACATGCAGGGGATTTCCTGTTAGCAACCCCAATGTCGGCAACTGGCACGCGTCTCACACCACACGCCCTCCGAATTGCTGTGGCCCTTCGCCTTGCTGCCCCAATCCACACCAGATATAGGTGTATTTGCGGCGAGGTGGTGGCTGACAGGTACGGCCACCATGGCCTACTCTGCCAAAGCACAGGGGGATGGCACTCGAGGCACAGTGAAGTTAACGACATCATCAAGAGGAGCCTCACCACAGCTGGATGCCCAGCTGAAGAGAGCCCCGTTACCTAACGCCCCGTAACTCTGATGCTCTTATTGGTCGTCCGGATGGTATCACAGTGAACCCCTGGAAGAATGGCAAGCAGTTGGTATGGGACTACACGTGCGTATCAACCCTGGCTAACACCTACATTAACCTCAGTGTTGCACAACCAGGTGGCGCTGCCACCCACAGGGAAGCAGCCAAATCCCGTAAGTATAGAGAACTGGATCACCACTACAATTTTGTCCCCATTGCTTCTGCGACACTCGGCGCCTGGGGTAAAAGTGCTACCAGTTTTTTGAAGGAACTGGGTTCTAGGCTCATTGAAACAACAAGGGACCCTAGAGCTGCCAGCTTTCTTTTCCAGCGCCTCAGCGTGGCGATACAGAGGGGAAATGCGCACTGCATCCAGGGTTCCTGCCCGCCATCTGAGGAGCTGGAGGAACTCGACAACCTATGATAACCATTTTTGTAACCTATATGTAACTCCTTTTTAGTAACAAGGTTCAAATAAAGAAAATATATATGTGTACATACAAAAGAATGGGGGGTGGTAGGAGAAGATAATATTAGTGTTCAGTGAGAGACCACAAGGTCTCCTCTGAATACTTTTTATTTTCTTCTCCGAGACTATGGGTCCCCACATTGGCACCAGAGGTGGTACCCTCACAAATTATATTATATATATATATATATATATATATATATATATATATATATATATATATATATATATATATATATATATATATATATATATATATATATATATATATATATATATGTTGTACCTAGTAGCCAGAACGCACTTATCAGCCTACTATGCAAGGCCCGATTTGCCTAATCAGCCAAGTTTTCATGAAATACTGTTTTTTTCGACTACCTAACCTACCTAACCTAACCTAACCTAACTTTTTCGGCTACCTAACCTAACCTAACCTATAAAGATAGGTTAGGTTAGGTTAGGTAGGGTTGGTTAGGTTCGGTCATATATCTACGTTAATTTTAACTCCAATAAAAAAAATTGACCTCATACATAATGAAATGGGTAGCTTTATCATTTCATAAGAAAACATTGGAGAAAATATATTAATTCAAGAAAACTTGGCTTATTAGGCAAATCGGGCCTTGCATAGTAGGCTGAGAAGTGTGTTCTGGCTACTAGGTACGACATATATATATATATATATATGTTGTATCTAGTAGCCAGAACGCACTTATCGGCCTACTATGCAAGGCCCGATTTGCCTAATAAGCCAAGTTTTCCTGAATTAATATATTTTCTCTAATTTTTTTCTTATGAAATGATAAAGCTATCCATTTCATTATGTATGAGGTCAATTTTTTTTATTGGAGTTAAAATTAACGTAGATATATGACCAAACCTAACCAAACCTACCTAACCTAACCTATCTTTATAGGTTAGGGTTAGGTAGCCGAAAAAGTTAGGTTAGGTTAAGTAGGTTAGGTAGTCGAAAAACAACTAATTCATGAAAACTTGGCTTATTAGGCAAATCAGGCCTTGCATAGTAGGCCGAGAAGTGCATTCTGGCTACTAGGTACGACATTATATTTATATATTATATATATATATATATATATATATATATATTATATATATATATCCGAACTTTATATATATATAGTTCGGGTAGGAAGGGGTCCAGCCATGCGTCACGCCGGCTTGTGGTGGTGGGTGGGCGATGGTCCAGTTTGCCCACTGTGACTTCACAGATTCACGGCCTATTATTCCTATTATTTGAATTGCCATAAGGCTGGAATGTTCATTCTGTCCTTTTGTTTTACATATCTGCACAATCAAGAAACATCTGTGCACCATGTTAGGTAGGGAGAGATGCTAGGAGGGGAGGGGGAGGTAGGGAGAGATGTTAGGAGGTAGGGAGAGATGCTAAGAGGGAGGGGGAGGTAGGGAGAGATGCTAGGAGGTAGGCAGGAAAGGGATGGAAGTAGTGAGAATTAGGGAGGGAAAGGCAGGCTGGCAGGCACAGGCAGGCAGGCACAGGCAGGCAGGCACAGGCAGGCACAGGCAGGCAGGCAGGCAGGCAGGCAGGCAGGCTAGCTTGCAGGCAGGGAGTGAGTGGTAGTCACGCGGTTGAACCGCGTGACCTTGAGAGATGGGATGTAGGGGGCGGGTGGTTTGTTGGTGGTGGGGTGAGACCGGCTCATTCCCGAAGATAAGCCTAACACACACTACCCGTTAGCATGATGGGCAGGGAGGGAGGCAGGCTGGCTGGAAAGGAAGCAGGCTGGCAGCTGGGAGGAGGCAGGCAGGCAGGCTGGGAAGGAGGCAGGCATGCAGGCTGGGAAGGAGGCAGGCTGGGAAGGAGGCAGACTGGCAGGCAGGGAAGAAGGCAGGCTGGCAGGCTGGGAAGGAAGCAGGCTGGCAGGCTGGGAAGGAGGCAGGCTGGGAAGGAGGCAGGCTGCAGGCTGGGAAGGAGGCAGGCTGGCAGGCAGGGAAGGAGGCAGGCTGGCAGGCTGGGAAGGAAGCAGGCTGGCAGGCTGGGAAGGAGGCAGGCAGGCAGGCAGGCTGGGAAGGA